TTAACTTTAAGAAAAGCCAAAATAGATATTAAAAAAAAGTTTTCAGCTAGTCTAACATTTGTGTAATTGTCACAGGTGGAAATGAATTTGTCTATACGGACAGTACTTACTTCTTTGATTATACCATTTTAAAAGTATTTCTCAAGGTACGTAATATGATAATATTTAATTGTTTGAATGAACCGTTCTTACAAAGAAAAATATACCGAATACACAGATCTTGGATGAAATTCAACCATTAACATATGAGTTAGAAGCATGGTCTGATTTCTTATCAACAAAATCCACAAAACACTTCATAACACAAGAAATCTCAACATTAGAAAAAGCACAACTAACAATTCTAAAGGAGCTTTATTCTCTCGATAATCCCAAATTAAATGTTTTAATATTAAATAATTCAAAATTTTATCACATGGGAACCATGTTTGAATATTTAAATGAATGTTGTATGAATCCTCAATTTAAACATCAATTAGGAATTGTAACATTTAGTTCAGGAGAATCGTTAGATAAGAAAACTTCAAATAAAGGAAATATTTGTATAATAAATAGTGAGATAAATGAAAATACAGTATTATTTGAAGATTCTGCTCCTATAATCTTAGATAATGTTAAAATTTATAAAACTTTTGCTGAAGAAAATAAGGTCATAATTGGAGGATGGAGTATATTAAATAACATTGAATTAAATACATCAAATTTAATGTTAAAAGAAATTAGAATACCAAATCATACATGTATGTTTACTTTACATTTAAAAAAAATCTTAACCTCTAAAACTTCTTCTGTTTTTAATAAGAAAGAAGGTTATGTTACATTTATCTTTGGTATAAATGATGATATGAAAGCAAAGTATTCTTTTAATTCTTTAATTATTTATCAAAATATACTTGTACATAAAATCATTCTTTCACAATATTATAAATATATAAATTTACAAGAACAACTACCACCTAAATTAGCATTATGGAATACTCCTATATTTCCTATGACTAAAACTAAAGAACAATCTATTAAATTAGCTATACAAATGTTAGAAAAAATAAAAAAAGCAAAATATATGTTTGAAAATAATATTGCAGAAGAAGATAAAGAAATATATAAAGAAGATGATAGAGAAAATGATGAAATTATTATGTTTATATCACTAAAAATGAGTGTTGAAATAATGAAAATATTATAATTAATTTATTTAATTTCTTTTATAAATTTTTTATTTTTTATATTTTTAAATATTAATAAATATCTAAATATTTTATATAATATTTATAAATCTATACATTTTTTTTTAATATTAATAAAAAAAAATTAAATTATTAAACTAAATCAAAAATAAACTTTTTAAAAATAATTTAAGTAAAATATAATAAACTAAAAAATTTAAATTTTAGTTAATTTAATTATAATTAAAAAAATTAATATTATTATATAATAAATTATCTAAAAATATTAACAAAACAATTTATATTTAATTAAATTAAAATTTTATAAAAATTTGTTTAATTTTAATTAATAAAATATAAATAATTTATAATAAAAAAAAAAACTTTATAAATATTTTCTAAAAAAATTTTTTAACAACTTTCTTTTTTTTACTTTTATAAATAATAATAATTAATATATACAATCAACTTTTAATATAGTAAACTCTTGATATAACAAATTTTTTGAACAAATATAATAAAAATACTCTTGTTATAGTAAATTGGCCAATCAAATCTCTTA